TTCTATTGTGTTCTGCGACTCCAGGGCCGCCTATGCATTCCTAATGTTGATGGCTTGAGGGAGAGGATTCTAGAGGAGGCACACAATTTGCGGTATTCTATCCATCCAGGTTCTACGAAGATGTATCGCGACCCGAGGCAGCATTATTGGTGGCGGCAAATGAAGAAAGACATAGTTGAGTACGTGGCTAGGTGCTTGTATTATCAGCAGGTTAAGTATGAGCACCAGAGGCTAGGTGGCCTACTTCAGCAGATGCCTATAACTGAGTGGAAATGGAGTGCATTACTATGGACTTCGTAGTTGGGTTGCCGCGGACATTGCGGAAGTTTGATGCAGTTTGGGTCATTGTCGACAGGTTGACCAAGTCGGCACACTTCATTCCGATGGTGACTACTTATACTTCAGAGAGGTTGGCTTATATCTACATTCGGGAGATAGTTAGGTTGCACAGTGTGCCTCTTTCCATAATATCAGATAGAGGCCCTCGGTTCACTTCACATTTCTGGAGAGCTGTTCAGAGTGAGTTGGGGACCCCTGTGGAGCTCAACACAGCATTCCATCCATAGACCGACGGATAGTCGGAGCGGACAGTTCAGATTTTGGAGGACATGCTTAGAGCATGTGTGATTGACTTTGGAGGATAGTGGGATCAGTTCTTGCCTTTGGCCGAGTTTGCTTACAACAGCAGCTATCAGTCCAGCATCGAGATGGCTCCATTTGAGGCTTTATATGGTCGGCGATGTCGTTCTCCTATCGGGTGGTTTGAGCCTAGTGATGCTAAGTTGTATGGTACAGACTTAGTGAAAGATGCCTTGGAAAAGGTAAAGTTGATTCAGAAGGCGCGTGATGTATCATTCATGGTCAGCGAGAAGGTTCTCTTGAAAGTCTCGCCGATGAAGGGTATTATGAGATTCGGGAAGAAGGGCAAGTAGAGCCCAAGGTTTATAGGCCCATTCGAGGTGTTGAGGCAAGTTAGGGAGGTTGCTTATGAGCTTGCTTTACCTCCTAGCCTATCAGGGGTTCATCCAGTTTTTCACGTGTCTATGCTTAAGAGGTATCACGCCGACTTGTCCCATGTGTTAGACTTCAGTACTATTCAGCTAGATGAGAGCTTGGGCTATGAGAAGGAGCCAGTTGCCATTGTTGATAGACAGGATCTCCAGTTGAGATCCAAGAGGATTTATGCGGTAAAGGTGCAGTGGAGGGGCCAACCAGTCGAGGAGGCGACCTGGGAGTCCGAGGAGGACATGCGGAGCAGATATCCGCACTTATTCAGCACTTCAGGTATGAATCTAAACTCGTTCGAGGATGAACGTTTGTTTAAGAGGTAGAGAATGTAACGATCCGACTGGTCGTTTTGCTTTCTAGAACTACGTTCCCCTAAATAAAACTTCCCGTGCTTGTTTTTATTGATTTATGACTTGCGGGGATGGTTGGTTCGGGATTTAGAAGAGTTTGGGTTGAAATCGGAATACTTGGTTCCTTAGGGTTGGCTTAAAAGGCCAAGTTTGACTTCTGTCAAAATTTTGAGTAAACGACCTCGGAATCGGAATTTGAAGGTTCCAACAGATTCGTATGACGATTTTGGACTTGGGCGTATATGTCCGGATCGGGTTTTGGATGACCCGGGAGCGTTTTGGCTCCTAATAGTGAAAGTTTATTCCTTAAGGATTTTGAAGTTCTTAAATATTTGGTTTGGAGCGGGTTTTTGTGTTATCGAGGTCCGAACGGAATTCCGAGACCAGGAATAATTTCTTAGTGTTATTTAAGACTTGCACGCAAAATTTGGTGTCAATCCGAGTAGTATAAGTACACTTCGGCGCATTAGAAGTAAATTAAAGAACTTGAAGTTCACAAGTTTGAATCAATTGGTTTTAGGGTGTGATTCCTAGTTTTGATGTTGTTCCCGGTGTTCCGAGGGTTCGAGCGAGTATGTTTTATCATTTCAAACTTGTTGGTATGTTAGGGCGGGGCCTCGGGGGCCCTGAGCGTCAATCGGACAAGGCTCGAGTTGAGTTAGAAATTTTTGGAAGGATCTGAAGCTCCAGGCATCTATCATAACCGCACCTGCGGTTGCCCAGCCGCAGGTGCGAGACCGCAGAAGCGGTTGATCCTTCGCAGGTGCAGCCCAGGGGAGGAGCCCAGGAACCGCAGATGCGGCTCTTTTTCCGCAGAAGCGGAATCGCAAAAGTGGCTCCAGGCCGCAGATGCGGTACCCAGCCAGCCCAAGCAAAGTCCGCAGATGCGGACACTTCCTCGTAGAAGCGAGACCGCAGATGTGGTCCCGTATTCGCAGGTGCGGAAATCGCTGAAGGCAATGCCTTCATTTAATACGGAAATGTGTCAAAAATGACATATTTTATTCATTTTTTGGGCGATTTGGGAGCTTTCAAAGAGGGGATTTCAGCCTAGCATTTGTGAGGTAAGTTACTCCTACTTAATGTGAGTTTAATACTTGATTTTTGGGTAGATTAACACACCAAGATTAGTGAAAAGTATGGGATTAGAGTACAACTTAGGATTTTGATAAAAAAAAAAGTTCTAACCACGAAATTTGTTATGGAATGAGGTAAAAATCATATATTCTTGATTCTTAGGTCATGGGTAACAACTTTCTTCAAAAAAAATTCCGGAATCCAGGCACGTGAGCTCGGGGATGAATTTTAAGAATCTTGTAATTTGGGTTGCAGAATCACTCTAATAGTTGGAATATGAACTTTTAAGCCTATATTGATTTGTTTTTATACTATTTGGATAGTTTCGGAGTGTTTGGCTCCAATTTGAGAGTTTGGGCATAAGCTTCGACCGGAAGGTAGGCCGTGGAGTAAGGTAAGTCTCCTTTCTAACCTTGTAAGAGGGAATTGTCCCTGTAGGAGAAAAATTGAATATTTACCATTAATTTCGGGGGCCACGTACACATGAAGTGACGGGAGTCCGTGCATAACTACTATTATGCTTAAGTCCGGTTAGTTTAGGACCCAAAAGCATGCTTTTCTTGCCATATATATTTGTAACTTTATTGTTAAATTAGATTACGTGAATCATATCGAACTTGGCAAATGAATTTCAAAAAAAGTTAAACATCATTTTCTTGACCGTTAAAGAGAAGTTTGACATTACTGTGGATAATTGTATTCCTGATAAATTATTGATTGACTGTGTGATATGTTTATTTGCGTTTGACCGCGTCGCACGTACGATTCGCGAGCGAGGTAATAGATGCATCTATGGTTCGCGCCGTTCGACCCTCCAACAGTGCACACTTTACTTTTATGTTGGATCGGGCCGTACGAGCTCGGCATTATTTGTGCAAGCTATATGTTTGGTATTTTCTGTGGTTTGAACTGTTTTAAATGCCTTAAAATATGGATGTTAACTGAAATATTATCTACGATAGAACCTGTCACTTCCTGTTACCAATTATTAATTATTCCTGACATCCATGCTTAGCATAGTACTTAATATACATCATTATTGACCCTAGTAAATGTCAAGTCGACCCCTCGTCACTACTTCTTCGATATTAGACTGGATACTTACTGGGTGCATATTGTTTATGTACTCATACTACGCTTTTGTACTTAACTGTACAGGATCTGAGGCAGGTACATCTAGCTACCAGTCCAGCGCGCGTTCCTGATTTGACCGAGATTCCACGGTGAGCTGCCCCTTCTAAGCCATTCAGCAGCATGCCGGAGTCTCTTCTTTTTGTTATTACTGTCTATTCTGTTTTAGGCAGTATGATAGTTACATTCTTTTGTATATTCTACTAGTTGCCCTAGTACTTGTGACACTAGTTCCTGGCACACACATTAGTACACTATCATTTTTGGGTTGTATTTCTATTGTTATGAAATTGTTAATTATCGACTGTTTTAAATATAACTTAAGTAAATGTTGGGAATGTTTAATACAATAATTGAGAACTCACTAATTGTTAGGGTTGGCTTGCGTAACCACGGTGTTGGGCGCCATCACGACCTTAAATGGAATTTGGGTCGTGACATTACCAACTATTTTTTTTCTTTCTCACACATTTATATTCTTAATTATTTTCTTAGTTGTTGTTATTTTCCAGACCCCATTAGTGGGATTTTACTAGGTGGTTACTGTTGTTGTTTAATAATTGAGTATTTTTCAATATTTCACGAAAAATTGATTAAAAAAATGTTATTTATGTAAAAAAAATAGTTCAAATATAATATAAAAATATATTATCGTGGGGGTATTTTTTTTTCAATTTTAATTCTTTATGCAATCCATTTAATATTACTTTTATTTTTTCTTGGTACTGAACATTATGGAGTGGTAATGTATTGCTAATACGGAGGGTTCTTATTAAATTGATTTTATTAAACCTTCCTACATATTTTTAATAAGAATTTAATAGACAAAATTTTATTAATTTTAAAATCTTAGATATAAAAAATTAGTATACAAGGTATCGTGGTCCAAAAAATAGGTTATTGTATTTATATCTTCTTCCTATAAGTTCTTCCATTTAATAACTTAAGGCTATTTTGATATATTAATATTGTATTTATGCTTTTATAATAATACAGGCTCTCCTTTTTCTAATTGAATTTGGACAATATAATACATTCTCAAATTAAATTAGTAATAGGACATTATACTTAATTTCAAATTAAATTAGTAATAGAAATTTTTAAGAAGTGTATATCTTGAAAGTAATACGATTACATGGCTAAAGATATTTACTTGTTCAATTTTATATGAATTAGACAACCCGAAAGTAATTATACTAATAGGATTCCTAGAGGTAATCATGTAGGATTTCTAACGTGTAGTATATGTCCTAAAACTAATAGGATTATAAATCTAATATCTAGAATTCCGGTTATGTCCTTTTGTTATGAGTTATTATGCTTAATAATATAAGGTTATTTTTGTAAATCAACATTGTATTCATAATATACGTATATCGTCAAAGAACGAATTACCATATAAATAAAGATGATAATTAAGTTCAATGAATGTACCTTGTAAGGTCGCTAAGCTCTTCCTGGTACAACTTCTGCAATATGTTGAAATCCAACTTTGCAAATTTCAAAAGCAAATTATTGTGCGCTTCAATATTTTCATATATGTCTATGTAGTTCCTTGCTCCCACCCTTGGTACGGTTTTGCGAATCGGCTGGTTTAACGCTTTGGTAACTTGAACTTTAAGCGAGTTGCTCAAGTTGGGGAGCATGGACTCGAGATGAGTGGTGGTAAAGGTAAGAGCTTCTTCAAGAATCTCCTCCTCGTGTATTCTGAGATGTGCTGCTTCGTACAAACTTAGTAATGCTTGGACATCATTCTTAAGAGTAGTTTCCTTAAATTTCCCGTCATGGTTTGTGAATTGCTTGAACACATCTGGTGAAACATCACGTTTATATTTTGATAGAAATTAAGTTGGGTAAAACCACAAAAGCACAATTATAGCAAGTTATTTTTTGGTAATTAAATCTTTATATTAACCACCAAAGTAATATTTACAAATCAGTAGGTCAACTCAACCTAACTTCCATACTGGATACAATCAATCTATCCTCCATCTAACTGCCTATCAACTATATCTATTAGTAGTTACATTTAGCTAACAAAACTTTAGTCTACCCCTCAGCTCTCATACTACATACACAGGCTACCTTTTTTGCGAGAATATCCCATGTTGTAGCTGTTTTTGCGAGAATATCCCATGTTATAGCAAGTTATTACAGAGGAATAATATATCTACCAAAAGAACCTAATGCTCTTGCCGTAACTGCTGGATTTGGCAGCTACAAAAATTTATAGTCGGCCCATGAAAATGTTAGTGTTTAGTTAGTGTTAATGAAGTTGGTATTGAGAAGAGGATGTTCGGGAGAAATTCAAAAATAGCCAGATTTACCACTGGTCGTTGAAAAATAGCCAAGTTTCAAAAGTCATCGAAATTTAGCCACTTTAAATCTGCGCGAAAACACTGTTCAAAATCCGGAAAAATACGCCCGCAAATTTTACGGGAGTTCCAGCATAAGTATGCTTGAACTCCCATAAATTTACGGGAGTTCCAGGATAACTATAGCTAGGAACTCCCGCAAATTTTACGGGAGTTCAAGCATAATTATGCTGGAACTCCCGCAAATTTTACGGGAGTTCCAGCAAGTATAATTGTCCAGTATAATATACTGGAGTTTGGAGCACTGGTGCTCCAGTCTCCCGCAAATTTTATAGGAGTTAGCAAAGTATACCGATCCAGCATACTATGCTGGAGTTCGTACACAAATGCACCAGAACTCCCGTATATTATACTGGACCGGTCCCTGTTGCAGCAAAATAGTGGCTATTTTTCATTGACTTGATAAACGCTGACTATTTTTCATTGACCAGTGTGAAAACTGGCTATACCATGATATTTTAACGGATGTTCTACATATCCCTCACTGGTAAAATAGAAGAGGATAGAAGTATTTAAAAGCATTTTCTTGTCCTACCTAGTTTTAATATTTTAAGGTATGTTTTGGAGGAAAACCAAATTTGACGATAATAATATAATAACAATATTAATAATCAAAGTTGTCCACTTGTGCACTTGCATTTAGAACCATCAAAATGGGCTTGACCTGTGAGGTCAGCCCAACTTAGTCCGCTATTTGGGTAGGATGAGGTTAAGATTTTTCTGAAACATTTAAAAGTGAGGCTTATAGGTCCGACCCAAGTTAGCCCGTCGGCTCTTGAGGCTTGACGGGGCATTTGCATTTATACCCGTTTTTTTGGGTCACGTTTTAACTTGTAGCCGCTTTTTGGGTCACGCTTTTTAGTTCATGTGAGTTTATTAGGAACCTTTCAGTTTATTTTTTTTTATGTTAACCATATACTATGTATATGTGGCTATTGGGTACTTATATTTTGATATGCAAATGTCCATGATTTGGGTTAATTTTTTTTTGGTGAAGTGTCTTTTCTTTTATTTCGATCATGTATTAGTAATTTATTGGAATTTAGATGACAACTTCGAAGTTTTATTAATAACTAAAGCCTTATGTTTGCAAATAAAGTAAATTTCCTGAATACTATGCAGTCTTATGTGTCCAATAAATAATTGTTCCTTTACAAATTTTACTTACTTGCACATTATCGTATGATAGAAATATTAATAAATCTAGGGAATTTTAGGTTCGAATTTAGATTAATAAAAATTGTTTTAAAAAAAAGAAGATTCAAAAAGATGAAGGGCTAGCGTGCCGTAGCCTATTGGCCCGCTTAGGTATAGGTTGGGTTAGCTATTTTAGGACCCTTCTGAAAGTGGAGCCAACCGTTCGTGCCCATCAAATTTCATGGTCCGTGGGACTTGGGCTGGGCTAGCCCATTTTAGCATCTCTACATCTGTCGGCAAATTTAGCAGTCCCAAATTACAGGGGCATTTGTATCATACCCGCTTTTTGGGTCACGTTTTAGCTTGTACCCGCTTTGCAAAAAAAATTGCAAGCGTACCCACTTTTTCGCGTAACTTCAGCATACGGGTCTGAAGTAGCAAAGGCAATCACGCAAACCTCAGGATTCTAGTAGACGGGCCTGAAGTAGCAAAATTGCTGAACCAAGTGTGCTAAAGTTTTTGTTTGTAATTACTGAACTTAAGCATTCTAGTGCTGAAGTTTTGTTCTCTATTTGCTGAAGTTTTTATTTGTAATTGCTGAACTTAAGCATTCTAGTAGCTGAAGTTTTGTGATGCTAAAGTTATTTAGTTAATTTGTAAAAACTTCAGCACTAAATAAGCTGAAGTTTTTTTGTCCTGGATTCATTAGTTTTGTCATTAAGCTTTTTCAAAAACTTCAGCAGAAGATGCTGAAGTTATTTAGTTCATTCGTAAAAACTTCAGCACTAAACAAGCTGAAGTTTTTTTGTCCTGGATTCTTTAGTTTTGTCATAAAGCTTTTTCAAAAACTTCAGCAGAAGATGTTGAAGTTATTTAGTTCATGTTTAAAAACTTCAGCACTATATAAGCTGATGTTTTTTAAAAAGCTTTCTAACATACTAGATAAATAATCACCTTATTCTTTCATAGTGTATTACTACTATAAAATAATCAGATTGTCAACAGTATCTAAATCATAAATTTTGGAAACAATAAACGTGAAAAGAATAGATTTATCATGAAAAGAATCACTAAGTGTGACCTTAAACTTTCCGTACGTGGAAATACTAATAAATTATTGTCTACTAACTTACGTAATTATTTATAATTTTTTTTAAATAATCTGATAAACATACTTATGGCAATCATCCCATGAACTGAAGTTTCATAGCAGCACCAACAGCAGCAGAAGAAAGAAGAAGAAGAAGAAGAAGAAGAAGAAGAAGAAGAAGAAGAAGAAGAAAACGAAGGAGGAGAAGGAGGAGGAGAAAGGGGGCTCAAGTTGTTTAAAAAGTGGGTACAAGTTAAAACTTTTAAAAAAAATGGATATAGGTTAATTGGGGGCGACCAAATAGGGCGCCCCGTGCAATTTTTACCAAATTACATTCATATATTCAGTCAATTTTTCTTAATTATTTATCAAAAACGTTTTTTACTAAAAGCATTTTTCCCCTTTTAAAATAGTTTTTGAATTTGAAAAGGTGACCATTTGTTTAATAGGTGCCCATTCGAAAATGCTTCAATTCAGACGTTTAAGGTGTTATAAATAACTAGCTTCTCCAAAAACAAAACAACACACACACACAAAAAAAAAAAAATCTCATCTCTTCTTCTTTTCTTAATATTCACAAATCACAATTTCGTTCTTTGTCGGAAATTTAAATTTGTTGCTGAAACTTAAATTTCCTTCAGCTTTGTAAAATCCAAAAAATTGTAAAAATATGTCATTTTTTGGATGGTCTTTAACTTCTGACACCCGCTTATCCCATGGGCAGAATTTCAAGATCAAAAGTTAGAAGTGTTGCCCATGGGAAGCGGTTAGTAGTACTTGTTAAACTTGAAACTCTGTCCATGAGATAGGCAAGGACAACAATTCAAGACCATCTAGCTACTTTAAGGGCTATTTGTATGCTTCCGCTATAAAATGCTAGAGTAATTCTGCCATAATTCTAGTAGGGACAAAGTAGGAGGCTTAAATTCCTTAAAGTTAGAGACTACTCCATCAAAGCTTATTAATTTATGTTTCCCCAAATTATTTATTCAACATAAAATTGGTTACGATTTTTCAGTACAAGCATAATATTGTAATTTCGAGGAGAAAAGGATAATATGCTCATGATCTATACTTCAATGCTACACTCTATATTGGTGTTGTAGGCGTGAAAAAGGAAGTTGAATTACTGGCTATGTCCCTAAAAAAAAGTTCAAGCCATATTGAATCAAGTTTCTGAAAATGGAATAGTATCGACTCAATTATTTTTGAAAAGATCAATGAAAACGAACATGGCAATTTAGAAGCAAGATATTTTTATCGTTACTTCCTCCCATGCTCTAGTAATTGCGCTCCAAAAAAGTTGCTTTTTTCGCCCCGCCAATGGTGGATAGGCATAGAAGGGAGATGTTAGAAATTGACGATAAAGCAATATTTTAAACCAAAATAAGGAAAATACGATTTGACAAAAAATTTCAAGTAAACACTAAGATATGTTGGAGTTGGACACATAATGTATGTCTAAGCTATGTCTATTGAACATACGGTGGTTACGAGACACATAATGCATGATCCTTAACCCTTTTCTAAATGACTACTTTTTAAGTATAATTTCATAGACCTTCCTCACATTTCGCTATGTAGTATTAATTTTCCATGTGGTTTATGATATTAAGTCTAGCTTTCTTATTTTAATTGGTGATAGCAATACACGTCGATCCTAGACGAAGGTATGTTCCTTCCCGCATAAATCTCCAACCTTAAATTCCTTCACATAGCTTTTTTGGTTTAAATGTTCAGAATATTCTTCCACATAGCAGTAGGTGGAAGTTTGGAATATGCTATATTCAGAGGCGGACCTACATTGCATGTAGTGGGGTCACGGACCCCGTTAGTCTCGAAACAAATCTTGTACATATACGTTATATATATCTTTACATATATATAGGACCCCTTAAATATTTTAGTTGTGCCCCCAGACACTAAAAGGTGGATGGAAGAAGTGGTTATGTTGGTCGCTTCAATTCCCTTGTTTGCCTTTAGTTTTTTTTAGTTAATTGAATACAACGTACTTTCATACTTAATACTCCCTCCGGTCCAAAATAAGTGATTTTTTGGTCTTTTTTTATGGTCCAAAATAAGTGATTTTTTCAGATTTCAAGAATGAATTAATTATTTTTTTCCTACATTGCCCTTGGAGTAAATAGTGTTGGAGTATGTGTTAGCAGTATTTGTGTGAAGAGATATCAAAGGTTAATATGGTCAATGTCATTGCTAATTAATGCTAAAAGGTAGATTTCTTAATCTGTGTGAAAAGAGCTAAAAAATCACTTATTTTGGACCGGAGGGAGTAACAAATTGTTTTATTTTTTTCTTTATTCTTTTTCTTTTGAATTCAATTATAGTTTACTTCTAACTTCTAATACATAATAGTCAACTTAATTAAAAAAAAATCAAATTCATCCCTTAAAATTAGAAGCTTCAAATTGCAACTTATCACTCCATAAATAGAAAAATACAAATCCTTACACCACAACCTTCTTCATCAATCACTTTGACTCCGACTCGGCAGTGGAAACTAAGAGTTTAAGACTCTTCTTTATTTTTTTTACTATTAGCATACCCTTAATCTTGATTTCTTTAAAGTTTGAACGCCCTTTTGATCACTCACCATTTATTTTATATTTTTTTAAAAAATTAGAAATTTTAAAGTGTGAAACATGCTTAATCAAACATTTTCCCTTCCCATAGCACCCGTTTTGCGAAGAAATCTCTCTTTGTTCGGTGCTTTCTTTTCTTTAGAATTTCTTTTGTTTATACGTGGATGATAAATCATTATAATCATTAAGTTTTCAAAGAGTCGTACGCCAAATTTTATCGATTTAGCACACAGTGATGCCCCGTTGTGCTCAAATCCTGGGCGGCCTCTGACTATATTGAAATAATTACCACGGAAAGGAAACAGTGAAGCTGCACATGATAGAGCAGGAATACGTTACCAGAAGATATGTAATACCCTTGTTGCCTCAGTAGTCGAAAACGAAGAGCTACAACATAAAGGTTGTCATCATTTTGAGTACTCTGTTGGGATGCATCAAAGATGTTTTGAATGGATGTTTCTATCTCATTATGAAAATGATATGCTACTCCCAGTCGTTGGATTGTGTCAATCAGGACAAGTTTTTGTGCACTGTTGTCAGGAGTTTCTGCTAACATGTTCCTTACTTTTTCTTTTAACTCATCTAGTTCAAGTTTTTCTTGGGTAGTAATTTCCTGAATTTGAAAATTCGACATATTAGTATAATATGTACAAACGCTGGAGTAGTTACTTTCAGCAAGTATGTTACTTCTAGTGGTTGTTTTCTGTTTTTGTTAGAAAATTATAGGAAAACAGAATTTAAAAAGAAATTACTAGTATATACTTAAAGCAAATATAAATGAGCGAATATGGAGCGCGTACGGTAAGTTGAGAAGTATAGGAGAGGAAATGATATCCCCAAACGGTTGATTCAAAATTTGCCACGTGACGATGAGAGGAAGAAGTAGCATCCATTGCTAATATTTTATGAGTCATCTTTTTCTCCTTATAATCTCCGACTCTATGTCTCTCTCTTCCCCTCCACATGACTAAAGGTGAAAATGAGTATGTATTTTGAACTGAACTGAAACTGTATTCCCCAATATTCTTGGATTGAATATTTGCCAAGTGATGATGCCAGCAGCTGGGAGAAGCAACCATTGCTTGACTCATCCTTCTTTCTGCTTAGGTTTTACATCTAAACTTATGTACATATTTATAATGCGGTTTCCTGTTTGTTTTCCTCAATGATGTAGTTGACAACATCCACGTGCAGTCTGTAATTTCCTCTAAGAGGAGGCTGGCTTCTTGGCAGCCGAGGAGCCAAGTGTGTTCAAAGGAGTCAAGTGAATTTCCTTTCATCGAAAAATTACACCGTATAAATATATAGCATAAAACGAATATATATATATATATATATATATATATATATATATATATATATATATATATATATATATATATATATATGAGATATATATGTTACATTCCCTTTATAGTTAATAAGTGTATTCACTAATTGTGCAAGTTTACATTTTTTGGAATTTTATTTTTAATAATTTCTGGCTCCCCACTGCTTTGTGATTTACAATATTACATTTACCCTTGTTTCTTGTAAGGTTGTTGCTGACTGACGGGTGCATATATGGATGTCATAGAGGTATTGGTGTGTTTGTCAATTCACTTTCAGCTGTAGTAGTCTTCAATTACCCACATGTGTATTTCATCCCAAACCCCGCCACTTCCAGACAAAAAAGATCTATGGATGTTACTGGTGAATTTTGCCAATTCACTAATTATTGCAGTTTTGGTCCCATGCATATATATAATGCCCACAGTATGTGGCTGTGTTGCAGTTGTTAAACAAATTATAGGAGTCTCGTACTGTTGAAAGTGAAGGGACTCTCATTTAGAGCCTTATAACGTGCCTTAGTGGGCTTCTTGTTATTTTCTTCTGATCGCATTAAATGATGAAAGTTTGAAGTAGCAAATCCCACTTGAAACTCTTTTCAGCTGCAACATCCTTTTCTGTATGAATTATAATGTGAGTCCACAATTAAAGTGTGGTTCTTTTGGACTCAAGAGACTGAAATAGGTGGAAAAAAAAAATGGTAACCTTTCTATATAAAACGCCCTTTTAAAGGGCGCAATACTTTAACGTCAGTTTTGTCCGTTAAGGTATAGCGCGGTAAATAACCGCGCTATACCCAGTGTTTGCATTTTAACGCATAGCGCTTTAAAGAAATGCGCTATACATCTATACGGTCCAAGTGTTCATTTTCATTATTTTTTTTCAATTTCCTTCTCACCTTTTATCCTTCTCTTTCTTTTAATTTTCCTTCTCTATTTTCATCCCTTTTGACTGTGTGTTTGAGATTTTTTCTTCGAAATTGCCATGGACGAGTTCGAATAAGTTCAAGCTTTTGGGCATAGATCTTTACGGGCTCGTGCCGGATAATGGTGAGTCCCCGGGCCATGGTCAAGCCATTATTTGTTTAGGCTTGGGATAATCGAACTCTTGGGTTCAAATTGAATGAGAGCTAGGTCACGAACCCTATTTGTATCGACCTTTTAGGTTTACTTAATCGGCCCTTAGGCTCTTTTATTTTGGCCCTTAGGCTCTTTAAGTTGGGCCAATTCGGCCTCTAAAACGGCTATAATTTTTTCCTCTTTTCGGCTAAAAGACTTAGTGAAAATTTCATTATGCCTTAGCATGTGTTTTTTGTATCCGTTGGGGTTTTTTGAGGATTCAATCGATCAGAACCCAATTTTTTCATCATCCATTTGTGTTAGGATAATTTAATACCTCTTGAGGCTTTTTCGAAGGCTGATATTATCGAAGCCTTTAAATTATTTGATGGCTGATTTTATCGAAGCCCTTTTTTATTTGCTTTGCCGAGGGTAGCCTTATTTAATCGGTTATTCAAAGTATTTGAAGGCCTTTAACTTATGGCGGAAGTCAGACGTCTCCGAGCCACATTATTACGGCCGTAGCCTTTTTATATGACCGTAGTCTTTAATATGGCCATAGCCTTCGGATGCGTCTCTTGGACTTGTTTCCCGATAACCTTTCTGATGGGTTTTCAATGTCTTTGCCTTATGCTTCTTATGTTTTGATGATCTAACAAACTTATTGTCAAGAACCAGATAGAGAACCTGACACACATGGTATACATTTCCAATGAACAAAGTCCAGTCTGATCTCCAGCAAATGAGTGAACAACCACAAGGAAGAACACAATAGGGACCTGGTCCCTTAGGGTTCTTCGACAGAAGTACAAGTCAACTGTACAGCTGGAACGTAACAACAGAAAGTGACTGTCCGCAACTGTTACAAAGAGGAACAAAATAGGGACCTGGTCCCTTAGGGTTCTCTGACAGAAGTACAAGTCAACTATACAGCCGAAATGCAACTGCAGAAAGTGACTGTCCGCAACTGTACACGCGACAGTGCAGCAAACAGTGTAGCAGTCACTTCTCATTGGGAAGAAGCGTGTACCAAGAATTGACATCACCATTGTAATGTCTTTTGTAGTATAACAACCTGGTGCAAGGCACAACAGATTCACTTGTGCATTCAGTGATATTCTCTCAAGCATTAAAGTGTTCATCCTACATTGAAGTCACTGGTGTGTCAAGAACAAGATGACAACTCCACTAAAGGATCAGTTTCACAATGAGTATATGTGTATCCGTAGTTGAGTTGTAATCTTGTTATTTGTTCTTCGTTGTAACTCCTATCTTGCTTTCTTAGAAGCTATGTTTTAGGAAACCCAAAATCCGTAAACTTTCTGAGTTTATGTTGTGACTAGGTTTAGTCATAAGTTTAAAGTCTTTATAACTAGAGAGTCACAAAGTGGCTTGTGGTAAGAGTATCACAAGTTAGTTTAGCTGAAGTCTTTGTAATAGAGTTATTACAAAGTGGCTTGTAATAGTGAGATTACAAGTTAGTGAAGTTGAAAGCCTACAAGTGTAGGTCGTGGTTTTTTTGTTCCCTTGTATGGGATTTTTCCACGTAAAAAATCTCTTGTCTCTTTCACTTACTGCTTCATAAAGTATTCTCAGTAGAAACTCATAAAGGATCAGGTGCTCTATAGTTTGGTGGACTCATATAAGCTAACAATTGGTATCAGAGCAGGTTCTTTCTAAAAGGTTAACACCTAGAAAGGATCTAAATGGCTGCTCCACCCAACCTTGAGGAAGGACAATAAACCTACAGACCTCCTAGATTCAATGGTCAGTACTACAGCTGGTGGAAGACTCTTATGCATGATTTCATAATGGCCGAAGATTCAGAACTGTGGGACATCATCTGTGATGGTCCACATGTTCCTATGAAGAAGCTTGAAGAAACTGGACCAATGGTGCCGAAAGACAGAAAGGAGTACAGTGATATTGACAGAAAAGTCGTAGAAAAGAACTATCGCGCCAAGAAAATCTTGGTATGTGGTATAGGACCTGATGAGTACAACAGAGTCTCGGCTTGTGATACTGCCAAAGAAATATAGGAAGCGTTGCAAACTGCACACGAAGGAACTACTCAGGTTAAACAGTCCAAGATTAACATGCTCACCACAGAGTATGAGCTCTTCAGGATGAAGGATGATGAGTCTATACAGGATATGCACACCAGATTCATATCCATCATAAATGAGCTTCATTCACTTGGAGATGTTATTCCCAGAAACAAGCTTGTAAGGAAAATCCTCAGTGTCCTACCTGGTTCTTGGGAAAATAAGGTAAATGCCATCACTGAAGCTAAAGATCTACAAACTCTAACCATGGATGAGCTGATTGGTAATCTGAAGACTTACGAGATGAAAAGAAAGAAAGACAGTAAAAGGAGAGAGCCAAAGAAGGAAAAGAACCTGGTACTCAAGGCTGAAAGCAGTGACTCAAGTGAAGAAGATAGTGGTATGGCCTATCTTACTAAAAGATTTCAAAAGATGGTTCGAAGGAATAGTGGTATACCAAAGAGGGGCAATTCAAGTAAGGCAAGGAACAATAATCTCTGTCACAGGTGCGGAAAGCCAGGGCATTTCATCAAAGACTGTCCACTTGTGAAATAGGAGCAATACAAACAAAACCCTGACAAGAAGCAAAAGGAACCTAGGTCCAGACAACGATCAGTCGAAAAGTGCAGCTACCAATATGTGAAGCAGTCTCTTGCCGCTTGGGGAGACTCCTCTAGTGAATCGAGAAGGGAACCAGATGCAGAAAACAGTCCATGATGGCGTGGAAACTGA